GACTTAAAAATCGAGGCTCAACACGAGTTGGCTCGGGCTTTACCGAGCCAAGCAGCTGACTCAAATTTTTTTTTTTTTTTTTTTTTTTTTTTTTTTGTCTTTTTTTCTTTTTCCTTATGGAGGCAAGCTGCAAGCTGCATCTTACAAAGGCAACAACTAGCTGCCTTAGTTGCTACCTTTAAAAGGAAGTAGATTGCCTTTGAAAGGCAGTTCTAATTCTTTTTTTCGAGCAGGCTCGCGAGCTACATGAGCTGGCTTGAGGTTCGGTCTGAGCCTAGGCTCAATGAAATCGGGCCGACTCGAGCTTTTTGCCAGTTGAGTCACAGACAGCCCTATTCAGCAAGCCAATTTACTATCCCTAAACTAAATTGACAATCAACACGTGACCCATTATAAAATCAATGAGGTCTGATTGTTCATCGATCACCTCCTAGGAGTAGAGGTTTTTACCCTCGAATACTAAGCATCTTAACTCAACATCAACAATAAATGAAAGAATTTTGATAATTTCATAACAATTTGAGGTCGTGAGGCCCTTCAATAAATTAATAACTAGGACTATTTCACATTTTTTGCAGTAAGATCTATAGTGATTTTAAAAATTTATATCTTTACTTGTGTTTCTTGTCTAGGAGGATTTTACCTACCAAATCGAATTAAATTCGAAGTAAAATCTACTTGTGGAATTTGACGTAAATTTTTGAAGGTCTACCACTCAAAAAAGGTCAAAACAAAATAACTTTTCATATCGACCGAGTATTCACGGACCCATTCCAATTTAATTCAATTAGAAGGTATTTTTATAGATAACTTCTTTTTCCCTGGTCCCTAAACCCAATTGATAGTGATAACTTCTTTTTCCCTGATCCCTAAACCCAATTGATAGTTCACTATTGTTTGTGGTTTGAAATATCAAGCCTGTTTGAGCCACATAATATTTTAAGAATAAATTTTGAAATAGTAAAATGATAAAGAATATGCGATTAAAAAATAAAATTTTTTTTTGATTTACGTGTAATATTATTTTATTGAAAAATATATGATTCGAAAAAGAAAAAAATAAAAAAGAGAGGGAAAAACGTATTTTAGAAAAAATGGGGATCAAGACAAAAAATTCATTTTTACATCCTTACGGAGATCTTTGAACGACGAATCCGATAGCCATTCATATGGACCTCGAGATAGAGACCTAGCCAAATAGAATATCGCACTCCAAAATTTATCGCTAAAAAAGTTGTTGGAAATTACAACTAGACTACTAAAATTATTCATAGATTTGGCAGGATTTTACCTATTAAAATGTCAACCCATTGTATAATTTATTTCATAGCAAAAAGTAAAAAAAATAAACAAGTTATAAAGTTGAGTTTTAAAATGAAAAGGGAATTTACCAAATTATCTATTTTACCTTTGATAAAAAAAAAAAAAAAAGCACTTTTTCTTTTCCAATTTGTCACCAATTTCAAGAAGAACAAACAACTTTAATGTTGCTTTTTGTGGGTTCAACCTTTTTTTTTTTTTTTTTTAACATTAATGTTAGCTAATACCCAAAGAAATCATTTGCTTTCATTAACTATTAGGTATTGACTAATGATTTCAAGAAAAATGAAGAAGATGAAGTAGAAAAGGCATTAACACTAAAAAATAACTATATACGAGTTGATTAGGCTCTTCACAATTCTCAGTAGAAGGTAAATTTTTTTTTTAACATCTTGTTTTTGTTGATAAGTTATATTTAGAGGTTGTTTTAACCCCATTCTTTTCACAAAAATACATTTTGTAATAGTGTTATGATGAATAATGTGTGGTTAAAAAATAAGAAATTTTTTTGGGTTTGCGTGTAATATTATTTTATTGAAGAATGTTTAGTTGAAATGAGGTCAAATCACTGTTTAAAAATATATTTTGATAGAAAATGGGGCTCAAACAAGGGCTTAATAGTTGTTTTTTTTTACATTCGCGAATTTGAACCATGTTTATTTAGACACTTAACACTTCATTTGTCTAAAACGAGATTTTGTTCTGAATATGAGAGTTCTCTGCATTTCATAAAATTCTTAACATTTTAATTATAGTTATCTACATTTCATAAATGTTTTATTTACCCACTTATAGGGAGAAATGAATATATAATGCGTGACTGAAATAAATTATGTCAAGTTATTATTCGTTGATACAAATTTTAATTATATAAATAATTTTATATTTATTGTGGAATTTAAAATTGTTAATGAAAGTATTTTGGTCTAAATTACAGTAAAATGGACATTGAATAAATTTTGGACATTTTTCACGAATGATCAAATAAAAGTGGACATTTTTGCAATTTCCTCGAATGGAAAAATAAAAAATGATCCAAAATTTTAAAGTATAAAGCATAGTATTCTGTCTAAATTATTTTAATAAACTTTTATCTCCATGATCTGACATGTGGAGTCAGACTTCAATTATTACCCTCCAAAAACGTCTTGGTAAATTTTGATAATAATCAATAAAGCTCCTGTTTGGCCCTCCTTTGCCTTTCATTTTTTTTTTTTCTCTCTTATTTTTAAACGTACAATCTTCCTTCAAAATTTTCTCTCCTCTTATTTTTAAATGCACAATTTTTTATAAGATAATATTATACATAAATTAAAAATAAATTCTTTCTTTTCAATCGCACATTTTTCAAAAAAAAAAATTCCAAACATTAAAATAAAAAAAAGGGCCAAACAAGATTAAAAGTTATGAATTGCACAGAATTTGTTATTGAAATTAATCGTTAACTTTGACTTGCTGTCTCAAACAAGCACTAAATCTTGCATATTTTATTGAATTAATTTAGTTGTACAAACTTTGTTTAAAAATTTAAGTATTGGCAAAATTTAAGCCATTGATTTCAAAAGTTATTTTTGAAATAATTGATTTAGATGTTGCTAACACATACTTTCTAAATCAAGTTTGTCAATATAATTTGTACAAATAACAAAATTCTATTTTATTTGAAAATAATTAGATATAATAGTTGGACATTCGAATATACTTCATAATCTGTGAAAAGTAAGCAAACTATTACTAGTAAAAATATTTTAAGCCGATTAAAATCAGACTGTTCAATGAAAAGTAAGCAAATTGTTGATTTTAGGTCAATTAAAATCAATTTTTTGACCATTATTTTACTATTTCAGTCGTTATTTTTGAATTATTCTCATACAGATAAAATTCACTTTATCTCTAACGATGAAAAAAATCAATTTTCAAAATTACTACTAAATACCCTCTAAAATGGTCCATGTACTACCACTCAAAGATCATTATTGTTTGAGATTCTTTATCTTTATCAAAGAGCAATTGTGGGCCAAGATGTCATCGTGTGTAATCATGTCCTGTCAAATCCATTTTTTTCTTCCAAATCTATCCTCCAAATCAATTTGTACTATTAAATTTATTACATGTGTTATTGTCCCCGTTTGGTAGGAATTTTTTGCCCCAAAATATTGATTTTTTGACCGTTATTTTAGTATTCAAGCCGTAATTTTTGACTTCTTCTCTCACATATGGATCCCACTTTTTTTCTAACGATCAAAAAATCAATTCTCAAAATCCCTACCAAACGGATCCACAGGTGTTGAGGATAGCGATGGAAAATCAATTCTCCACAGGTGTTGAGTGAAAATTTAAAAAATATTTATGAGTTATGTTGCTTGAATACGGTTTGTACAGATGTTGCATTGACACCACTTGTCTGACATTTTTTTTTCAAACTGTTCAATAAAATATTGACATGTGTTCCCTGATGCTAGATCCTATCACCAACTCTAATTGCGTAGTATAGGAAAATTTTAATTGTACATTTTGGGATCTCATTCCTCCCCTCTTATGAAGGGAATGTACATCAACGTGTACTTATAACAAAACTTATTTAGAGGTTGTTCGGTTTGGATTAAATTCTGATTTTAATATAAATTAATGTAAAACAATCAATATTAATCATATCTTTTATTGGTCTCACAACTTTTTAACCACACATTTCAAAATTTTTTATCACAATCTACTTAAAAGTATAATTTTAATTCCCACCAAACACTCTCTTATTTAGCCTTTGTTTGACATCCATTAAAATTTTAGAGCCCGTTTGATAACCATTTTCTTCAAAATATATTTTTCTCTCCCTCCTTTTCAACCACACATTCTTTATTAAAATAATATTACATGTAAATCAAAAAATTTTCCTTAATTTTCAATAACACATTTCACATCAAGTTACTATTCTAAAATATATTTTTACATAAAAATGCCTATCAAACACCATCTTAATACATTTTTTCTCTCACTTCCTTTCAGCCACACATTTTTTTAATAAAATAATATTACACATAAATTAATTTTTTTTTCTTTTTAACTATATATTCTACCAAAAAATACTATTACATAATAAATTTTACCAAATTTCTCTTTATAATTAGTGTCAAACAAGAACTGAATGGAGCACTGTAGAAAAAATAAAAAAACGCGTGGACCCCTCTTATGAGAGGAGTGTATATACAATGAAACCCGTTTATTTAATATAGCACTGTAGAAAAAGTTAAAACACTTTAAATGCCAAAATAAAAGTTGTGAAATAGGTGCTAAAGTAAGACATAAAAATAAAAATATATAACAAGTGAAAACGTGACTAATTAAACATAATAAATGTTGTATACAAAATCTGAGTTGAACAGTTGACATTTATTTATGGATATTTGATTTATATAAGAAATCTAACACAAAACAAAATGTAGAAGACATAAAAAAGATGTTTAATATTTAATTTTTATATAAATAAAAATATTTATACCTATGGGCCAATTTTTTTTTTAATAGAATTCAGCTATTTGTACCCTCATGATTTAAAACTAATTTGACACATTTGAGGTGTCAAAATCGAGGCCGTTGATCTGAATGGTAAAATGGCGTGTCATGTGAGTATAAATAAAATAAAGCAAAACTATTTTTTTTATATATCAGGGCCTTTTCCATTCCATTTTCATTACTTTTTGTAAACCACCTTACTCAGGCCATAAGCACCACAGGAAGATGCCTCCTCTGCCGCTCATTCCACTGTGCCTTATCTTCTTCGTCTCATTCTCCTCCGCCGCACCACCGCTTGACCACCAGTCCCGCTTTACCAAACACAAATTTCACCTTAACAACAAGTCAGATCCATACCAACAATACTTTGAAATTACACGCCCTTTACCTTTCCACAACCTGATTCCCTCATGCATACTCCCAGTCTTCTCCCACATCTTCGATAACACCATCGGCCTGCCTCCTGCCACCGCCGACTACTCCCCTCCGTGGAACTGTACTTGGTCCCACGTCGTCCTCCACCTTACCGTCACTTCCAGTGGGTCCCAGTATGATCGCATTGCCGGAGTGTGGCTTGACGGCGCCGAGATCCTCCGTACTAGCACCGCCGAGCCCACCCCAGAGGGTGTCTTCTGGAAAATTAGCAAGGACATCACCAGGTATTCTTCGATCCTCCGTCAAGGAAACCTTACCCTCTCCGTCATGCTTGAAAACGTCGTTAATGAAGTCTATACTGGCGTTTACCGGTTCGATCTCACCTTCCTGTACTATGATGTTGGTCGTAATTATAATGGCTCCCACGGATTTAACTTCCCATTGTCATCATTACCACTGAAGCAAAAGTCAACAACCAGGAAATTGGGAGAAAACCGAGTAATTTCAAAGTTGAATAGTGAACAAAACTCGTTAACTTTATATGATAAGCCGGCAGATTTGATTATTCCGATAGCTGGAATTGAAGATGAAGGTTTTTGGTTCAGAATCGAGAAGGCTTCCGATTTGAAGTACAGGGGGGTACAGATTCCAGCAAATACATACAGGGCTGTGATTGAGGTTTATGTCTCATTTCATGGAAATGACGAGTTCTGGTACTCGAATCCCCCAGATTCTTATATAGAACTCAACAATTTGCATTCAAAGAAAGGTAATGGTGCTTACCGGGAAGTTCTGGTGATGCTTGATGATAATATAGCTGGATCAGTAATCCCATTCCCTGTGATTTTCACCGGCGGGATCAATCCTTTATTTTGGGAGCCAATAGTATCTATTGGGGCGTTTGATTTGCCTTCCTACGATATTGAATTGACCCCCTTTTTGGGGATGTTACTTGACGGTAATGTGCATAGTTTTGGGCTGAGAGTAGTTGATGCTATTTCGTTCTGGCTTGTCAATGCGAATTTGCATTTATGGTTGGATGACAATGTGAAAGAAGTTCAGGCTATGACGTATAAATATATAGCTCCAAGTAGTGGCGTTGATCGTGAATCGAAGTTTCACAAACTCGATGGCAAATTCGAGACCGAAGGGAAGAGGAAGACTAAGGTTGCTGGGTGGGTGAATTCGAGTTTAGGAAATCTGACTACCTCTGTTTTTGATAAGGTGAGGTATGAGAACACGATAAAGTTCAAAAAGAACGGGAGACACAAGACTGTGAAGCAGGAAGTGAAGGTGAATAGAAAATTAAGAATTCTGTCTGATAATGGTACAGTGATTTCAGTTGCCACTGTGGAGAAAAAGTATCCCCTGAAAATCACTAGTAAGACTTCGGCTGGATCAACGGAGAACACTTATTTGGTGATCACAGATCTGGAGAATTCCCTAACGGAGGAGCAGAAGATTGGGAATTTTTCGAGCTCTTTGGATAACAGTCAAGAATCCAGTGGGTGGATGTTTGTCGTGGGTCATGATGTCCTCTCTGGTGCAGCAACTACTGATCAAAGTTACACTTACCAGGACAATTTCAGTTGCTACTCTCAGAAAGTTTCAGCTGCCAGCGGCAAGCTTAAGAGTAATAGCACGAGCCTTCTCTGTTCGTCATCGTCGTCCTTGTGATCCTGTTCGGCCGTGAATCAAACGCAAACAAAATGGTGTACAAGTCATTTGTTTTTCGTAAGCCGTAGGACTTAGCCAGTTTCTATGTTTGCCTGAATAAGTGTGATTCTGTTGTAGGCTTTTCTATGTTTGCCTGAGTGTGGTTCTGTTGTAGGCTTCGGATTCAATAATAGTACCATCAACTATGATGTTTGTCTATGTAAATTATCTGTTTTCTGAAGTTTTCAAATCCATGTCTGTTTAGCAAAATTAGTTGAAACTTGTCTTCGTCATGATTCGAATTACATTGCTATAGAAGGCATGGCAATATGCTAACTCTCAAAACGAAAATATTTGGTTGCGTTTAGTTTGTTATTTTCAGTTATGTAGTGCGCACACACTTCAATTAGGATAGCTTGTATGTGTCGAATACCTATGTTCCTTGTACGCTCCACTCAAATAATCTTTCTTTTTTCATTAAAAATATTATATTTTTAACTCAAAATTATTAGTATATAACAAATAGGTATGCATGTTTAAAAAGATTTCAAGAAAAGAACTAACAACAGGTGCAAAACTAAATTTATGCTATATAAATGAAAATTTCTAAAAATTTAGTCAATATTTTGTTTTAGTACTTTTTTTTTTGAAAAATCATGTGTCAACGTATCCAAAATGTATCGTGCAGTACACTTGTTTATGTCGGTGTATCATGACAATGGTTTAGAACACTAAAAACATATTTGATATGATATTTCTTAATACACATTTTCGAAAACAAGGATAAAATTAAAATATAAAAATGCATTTCTAAAAATATTGTTTCTTCTTTTGAATTTTGGTCTTTATAACTCGTACTACTAACGGGGAAACATAGTACAAAGTATTTGCTACCTATCATCTGAAAATACTGTGGAAAGAATGTATTTCCTCTATGCTTAATAGAAAATAAGATTGTACACTTCAAACTTGGGAATGTTCATATTCTGGCTTTTCCCTCAGGGCGCCAAAAGTCTTTCTTCCCCACAAGAAACTGTTCTTGATGTAAATTTACTGACCAATGAAGGGATTTCAGAATCAAGACGAGCTTGTTAATTATTTTCATGCTGTCTTGAACCAACAAATACCCTCCCGGTCTTAGGATCCTATCCATCTCCACTGCAACATCGATCATATCACACCTGAGGGACAAAAGTACACAATAACATTGGATGAACTTATTCCTGATTACAAATTGAGCATACTTTTGATCCCAAATTGATCTTATTTCAGTGATGTTCAGGCTGCAAAGTTCTTGTAGTACCTTTGGGTCAAATTTCTGAATAGGAAACTGGAATGCAGCAGATCATATGTCCGTGGATAGGTGTTGAGAGATTCGCACCAGTCATGGTAAACTCCAATCAGCCCTCTATCGAAGATGACAGATAAAGTATCGGTTTCATGAATAGGGACAACATTCATCACCCACAGGGGTAGATTTACGAGTGCAGCAGCAAACCTGAAACAGTGAACAAAAACACATTGGAAGGATAATCAACTTATTGGAATGAGATGATAAATGCCCCATCTTACCCTCCATAACCTGCTTTCATATCCATCACGTTTCTCACGCTCGACCAATTTATATCGAGACCTCCAAGATAAACATCAGAAACAAGTGCAGACCAGTGTCTGGTGTCAGCGTTAAATATTTTCACTGCATCTGGTTCTGGGATCAGGGTTGGAGGTTTACTTTTAAGCCTATCGGGCCAGGATGAACGCCACTCCTGTGCATAGTTTGGAAGTCGTGGAAGGCAACCGTCCAGAGGAGCGTACCTATTTGCGGGAAATGATTGCTCAAGTCGGTGATCAAAATAAAGATGACGAAGATAATGACCATTAAACTGCTGTACCATGAACTGTTTGGCCGACTGGCATGATCACAAAGAGGTGGATTATTTTCTTTGCGATTCTCGTAGCAGGAAGAGGACACTGGTTTTTGATAGATAACTACCCCAATATGAGAAGTGACGAAAAAGGTCTTCACCACTACCTTCCAGCAAACTGCTTCTGTCAAAGCTACCATAGCTGTAAGACACAGATACAAAATCCACCTATAAATGCTAGAAGTCAAGTAATGAAGTATCAGATATGTATGTGCTCTAACATGAAGTATAAATAAATTCAACAGTTTAAGAAAATTATTCCTGAGAAAGGTGATGAAAATATGACGAATACAAACATTTCCAGACATTCTTATCTCTTTCATCCTTCCTATACACTGGGGTGGCCGACCATATGAAATATCCTCCAGGCCTAAGCACCCTGTTGAGTTCCATTAGTGGTTTTCCACCTGCAGTTTTCAATAAATAGCTTTGTAATATACCTAAAAACCAGTATTATGACAGAAGAACTGAGATTTCTTGAAAGGGCGGTACCATCAGCATCCCAGTGAACCCTGCACCGTGCACAGTGAATCAAATCATAAGCATTATCTGGAAATATCAGCCGTTGGGTTCCAATTACCGATAGTGTGGCAGGAATTCCCCGCTCAAGGGCAAACTGTATTTGAGCCTCGTGTTCATCCTTTGGAGCAAAAGACATGGTAATAACATCTCTGTCGATTAAAGAACCACCAAAGCTAGCAACACCACAGCCAACGTCTAAAATAACCCTTGTTTTCTTCCCCCACTCAATAATTGGTAAAGCCTGATGCAAATGGGATAAACTGTAGCTTAGCAGCATTTCTCGAATGAAAGTCTGCTATTATCTATACAGAATGCTAAATGTTAATTAAAGAAGTGCTTCAGACTGAGAAAGCAACTTTGATCAAGAGAACTCGCAAATACAGCTAGTAAGTCTTTTATACAACCTTTTCAATAGAATCAATATAATGACCGACTCCATTCTTGAATTGTGTGCCACCACCGGGGAAGATAAAATAATCCCCCGATTTCACCACCCAATGCTGGTCTTTCTTGTATTCAACAAGCTTAGGATGAGGAACATTATCATACCATACCTGTTAAGCAAACCAAGAAACAGATTACTTTTCCAACAAGAAGCTGATCAATGAACTATCCCAACACAGAGAAACATTCTTCAGAAATTATGATTTGAAGAAGAGAAGTATACGGAAGCAATACTAGATAGATTGCTCCATTTATCAATTGAAATGAATAAAATCCATGCCCAGTGAATATTCAATAAACTAAATTGAATTCAAAACCAGCAACCCTAATCAACACTTCAATTACATGAAGCAGTCGAGCAAATTTTTAACACAGAATTTCACTAAACCAAGATGAATGAACCCTTGATCCCAGAAACCAAAGAGAAATTTTCACTAATTGTAATTTGTGGTAGTCCACTTTTCAAGAAAAGAACCTTTAAGCACGTTCTTTTAATCAGTTCATATAAATTAATCATAATTAGGCAATCAAAAGCTAACATGTCTTAAGCATCAAGATTAGCTGGTTGATCCTAGAAACTCTTAACAAGATCCACAAAAAAACCAAGATACAAGAAAGTTTGATCTCACCATATCCCTACTCTTGGGCCATGGAACTGGAATTTTGTACCCTTGGGGTAAAGGGACCAAACACCTCGGACTCGGGTCGGGGCAATGTCTCTCCAGGTGCTCCATATGCCTCCGAGACTGCAAAGCCATTATCGCTTTCGTATTGTCTAAACAGGGTATGTAATCCACTGCCACTGATCCCTCGCACACCTTCCACTCCACTGCCACAGACTCATCATCAACACTACCAATGCTTCCGGCGGTGTCCGTACTAGTGTCGGTAGTAGTATTGATAATATTCCTATCATTATCCGACGGAGCGGTATTTTCTAGTGGAGGGCTGGGAAACGGTTTGGAAGAATACGGGTCGGGTTGCCCGAGATCAGCTGTCGTCGAAATGGGTGAGTGGGAGTTGGAGATGAGGAGTAAAGTGACGAATATGAGTAAAAGGAAAAAAGCAAAAATGAACGGATATTTTCTTTGGTTTAGAAGATTGTGTACTGATAATGATATTACCATCGTCGTTATTATATTATCAGCAGATTATCATACCACCATTGAAGATCTCAATTCTTAACTAATATATGTAATCGTACGAAGGTGGAAAGAAGAGATTTGAGCATGTGAGAGAGAGATAGACTAAGCCCTATTTAATCATCATTATTTTAAAAAATAATGTTTTAAATAGTGATTTTTTTAGAAAATATATGATTAAAAATTAACAAAATTTTTTGAATTTACTTATAAAATATTTTATTGTGTACATATATAACTGAAAATAAGTATAAAAACTAAAAAAAAAATTATTATTTTAAAGAAAGACAAGCTTACTTGAAAAATGGATGAAATTAGAGGAAGGATTTTGTCATTTTGTTACGAGAAATTTAACAAATACAATGACATGGTATGCGATGACGATAGATAATTTGATGAAAATGTTGATTTTATTTCAAACAGTCTAATGATAGAATTTCATTTGAGATATGAATGATTATATCAAGACATCTAACAGGGTAATGAAATTCTTGGAGGAAACAAAAAGGGTGCCCGGGTGATCATATCTAGAATAAAGCCAAATAGATAGGCAAAAAAATTAAGGATTAAGAGATAGATTGATTTGGCAGAAAGTAGTTGGCTATTTTTTCTTTTTAATTTTTCAAAGTGTTCAATTATACTTCAACACGTATCTACTATGCTTTTGAGCATGTCCCTATAGCATTATTTCATATCTATTGGAGAGGACGTAGGGTAGGATTGGGTGGGGGTGTCTGTCAGTTGCAATAATATGTAAAACAAATAATAAATAAGACTTCGCTAATCAAATTTTACGTAATGAATTACATAATGCCACATGTCATGTCTCCATTTGTGAGTTTAAAATACAATCAACTTTTTCAACAAATCTTTTTCCTCCATTTCATTTTATGTAATCCATTATGTACATTTTTATGTACAAATAGTAGAATCCTAATAAATACACAAGTTTTGGTTCATCACATTACAAAACGGCGTCACTTCTTGGAAGCTCGTCTCAGATTCTATTTAATGAAAAAATTACCCGGGAGCCCAGAAGGATTAGCAGCTTAGCAATGCAAATGTCAGTACAGGTTTATATACCCTCCTAATACCCAGTTAAAAAACAATGCAACTGTATAAAGAGAATTTATTCGAGTAGAACAAAACAGAAAATTTTCACTCTTAAAATGTGATTTCTGTATTCTCGACATCAACTTCTCCCATGCCTGTATCTTCCTCCTCTTCACTGTCTTCATCGACACTAACTTCATCATTTTCACGACCCAGCTTACGCATCTGCTCAGCAAGTAGTTTGTCCTCCCGTTCGCTCACCTAAACAAAGGCATCCATATTAGATTTGCAATGACAATAAAAGTGGTGTTGCTGATAATAGCCTTGCACAAGCCAAAAAGCACAGAATGGATATTTTTCAAGACCAAAAGTTGTAATTTTATAGTACTTGTCTGCAAATAATGGACACTATTAATAAAACAACAGAAACTTAAAAAATTGTTAATAGCTGTCCAGTTTAGCCCCATACTAAGTATCAAACATGCACTATACTCAAAATGATAAAAATCAAGGTCTAATTTGAGAAAAAGTAATGATTCTCACAGCCCTTGCTGCCTCTTTAACAGTAAGTTTTCCCTTGTGACATTCAATTTCTTCCATGCAAGCCTCAATAGCCTTGTTAAGGATAGCAATGCCTTGCTCCTGAATAACAAAATAAAACCCAATAAGACCCTGTTTGACAATCATTATTTCAAAACTCTTTATTCTACATACTCATTTTCCACCACAAATTTACAAATAAAATATTTTACACATAAATCTAAAACTTTACATTACTTTTTAACTACATATTCTCCAAAAAATCACTATTCAAAACAATGTTTTTGCCAAATAATAGCGCCATCAAAAGGGCTAAAATTTGCTTGATTCCCCCTGCAGTTTCATGTGATTCTAGGGGATCAGAGATTGAAATAGATAACATGTAAAAATGTATTGTGGTCATAAGAAGTAATCCCATAGCACAGCAGACCCTTGATGAAATAACGAATAACCAGTAGAATTTGTTATTGTAGCTTCAGCTTTGCTAGTTTACAGTTTACAACAATATCTTTGATTAGCAATATAAAAAAATGCAACAACCTAAATTCCATACTGCCACAAGAATCAATTTTATTAGTAAGAAATCGTTGACCGAAAAAAAGTCATGTACAATAGATTATCGTATGAAGAAATAACAATTAACAGACTTGAACCTAGAAGACGAGCAACAATTGCCTTTGCTTCCGTAGCATCATAATACCATGTGGTACCTAACACATTAGTGCATTCTGCTTCTGTGGCTCAAACCACATTTTACATCCTTGACATAAAAGTTCAAACTACAGACCAATTAATCGTAAACAAAGAAATAAGCCAAAATCTTTGGACTGTATGACAGGCATGTAAGACACTGTAGATTACATCTTAATACCAGAATTTACAAATTTTGGGACAGTTAGGCCAGCATTAGAGATTGTATGAAGCACAAGTGTTTTGCAGTTTTTATAACAGAAGTTGAGAAAAGTAAAAAAAACTCTCTGGCACGTCCAACAGGGACGATGTGATATATGCTCTAAAGAAAATAAAAGACAAATAAAAATTTCATGATGGCTATCCTATCTATTCAGCATAACAACCATAATTTGCAGTTAACCTTCTCAAGAGTCTGGGTGTAGAGGACATATGCTGGAGGAGCAACAAGTTTAATTTTAACTGGGCAATCCATGTTACCAGCAGCTTCAGCTTTACGCATTGCTTCCTGCAGATAGTTCAGAAAGAGTTAGCACTCAAGACAAAGAACCATATTTCACAGTATAATAGCATATGTTCAAGAAGCTGGTAATCAGATGAATGGTCATAGGATAGGGACCTTGATGTGCAGAACACCATCAAACTGGAAGCACTTCATTTCAATATCAGCACGAATCTTCAATGGTTGTGGGGTCATTCTTCTCCTAATATTTTTTACTAAAGCATCTTTAACCTCCTCTGATATGGCAGGAACCACCTTCGTCGCCTATAGAATAACATGATTACAAATTGTCCCCTTACCAATTTGAAGAAAATAAATACAAAATCACATTTAACAAAGAGTACCTCCTGCCCATCAGGGCCAACTTCTTTGATTTTGCGAGTAAGAGAATCAAGCACTGAATCAGGATCACTGACGATTAATTTGAATGCCTGCATTTTGAAACAAAAACCAAAGAAGTAGATATTACATTTCCATTACTAAGTTGAGGCAAAGGTCACAAGAGTTTGAAAGAGGTACAAAATTTACCTCAAATGCATGGCCATATTTCCTGTATAAAGGCCAGCCGATGTGGATATAAAGATCCTACGATAAACAATTTGCTTTTAATGAAGATGACAAGAGAATAGATCACCAAATGATCACCACATATGTCAGAACATAGATTTGGTAGCATGCAGCACTAAGATGTAGACAGGGACAGTAAAAGCAGGTAGAATACAAGAAATCCCTCGCTTCCAGGGAGAAAAATCACTGATCATTTAGATGTTAGGACTAATCAGCCACGTAAAAGGTGTTGCCAAACCAAAATGTTAGCGAGGTAGAGAAGATGCAAAATTTTCCAAGGGATGCAGAGCATCTAAAAAAATAAAAGAATAATATCAAAACCCAATTTTCCAAGGGATGCAATGTCAAGATGCAAAATTTTCCAAGGGATGCAGAGCATCTAAAAAAAAGAAAAGAAAAGAATAACATCAAAACCCAATAGAGCACTTACAGACTACAAGGCATTCCAGATGAATATCGTGCAATGAACGAACTTCCTCAAGGCAACATGCATTTGCTTTGCTTCATAAAAACTAAACAGGGAGAGAGGAATATTCCCACTAATTCATAATCAGAGAAAGTAATCATAGACAACTTACAGAAATATAAACCCACCAAATGGGGGCAAAATTTCTTCAGCTCCTTATAAAACCAGTTCTCAAGCAATACCATGACTATGAGTAGAACCTTTTCGAGATCAACGGTATATTTCTTCCTTTGGGGGACTGTCAGCGCGAGGTGGCAGATTAAAATTTACTAATCATAATAAAAAAAAACAAAAATGATTTTTCCCCAGTATTCCTAAATTGTTGAAAACCAGAATTCCATATAGCTTGTGGCATAGCTAACTCAACAAGGTCAATTTATTTTTCTTCTCTTTAAGGTGAACATAGCAACATACTTCTGGAAGGAAATCGTATATCTTAAAAGCTTGTGGAAAGACAAGTAACCAACATTTGTTACCTAAAAATGAGAAACAAGTAATGTTTACTAAAGACTTCAATTCCAATATCAAGTTACCATTATTAACACAGTAACGCAGTGACTAGGATCAGAAGCTCCTTCAGACACGTGAAGCTAAACTAGCAAATAGACTTCCTTCCTTTAACCCCTTCTCGATCCAGTGATTCCACCATCATCTTCCCTTCATTTTGTTTCCCTTTCTCTTTTTTCTCCTTTCCACTTTGGGTGATGACTGCTGAATAGCAAAAAAATAAAAAAGAAACAAGGCACAGATCCAGGGGTAGCAGACCCTGTGTGACCACAGTAGTCTGGTAAAATGGAAATTGTTCATTTAGTTTTATGTTCTGTGAGTGCTCCTTAAATCAACTAGAATTTGGAAATGTTTTCCTTAAAGTCAGCGCCCCTTCCTGCTCAGCAATTTCCAATTTTTTTTCGATTTCTGAAAAGAACCACAATAATATCACCTCTATAGCCAAATTATAATCTTGTCAGCTTAAACGTGAATTCTGTAATTCAGAAACTCCCTCTCTTCATTTCCAAGCTTTGAATTCTGGATTTCATAAACTTCTTGTTGTGTCATCGCTCGCGTTTGCACATGTACATGGACAAGCACAATCACAAGCATGGGAATCCATGCCACTTGAGCTAGCGAGAATCTCATGTCAGGCTAAAGCTACACCAAATTTGTTCTTGTCATGTCTATAACATGCGAGCTCACATGCAAGAAAATCCATATAATTATATCTTTTGCATTTACACTCACAAGAATCGCAAGGCAGGATGAAGTAAAAACAGATTTGTTCTCTTTCCGTATCCACCACTCTCCAAGCAAGAGAGTGAGAGAGAGAGAAAGAGAGAGAGAGAAAGAGGGAATGGAGGTATTCTGGGACAACTAGTAACCTTGAGAAAACAGAACAATCCAGGGAAGGAAATTATTTCGTGTCTAAGTAAATAATACGTAAAATCGTAAAAGCATAGTAGTTCAATGATCCTGTGAATCCAAATAAGAAGCATACTTAACCAATACTTTTCTCGAATTCGTTTGAAGTGTCCACAATAAATTGCTATCAGCTATCACCTTCTAGGAGTCAAATTCTTCTCTAAGCAGAGAATTTGGACAAGAAGGTTCTCCCACCAGCTAACACAAATAGAAAACGGAAGAAAAATGAAATTAACCCATAGTCTCCCCTTACATAATTTAGACTAGCTTCTACTGCATGCTCAAAATGTGTGCCACAAGGAAATGGGAAAACAAACTTGTTTCAGTTTCTATGAAAGAAGGTTTCTTTATAGAATCAGTTACTTTTGTGCAAATACTGAGAATAATCAAACAGCAAAAAGCAGGCTCATTATACAAAATCCTGTATCATTTGAAGCTTCAAGTATTAGATGGGGAGTAAATAGAATTTGATTGTTTTTCCAGGAATGACATACAGTCGATGTAAGAAGCCGTAAATGGGAACTAAAGGCATTGTTTAAAGCTGCTATAAATTGGAAATTTCATGCCAAATACTGGAGAGTCACTGAACTTATGAGTTTACACATCTTTATTGGTGTTCAATGATGCTATCACTTAATAATAGAATAGAGATTACACAATAGGACTACGAAGGATAAAATAAGATCATCGGCTGTGAAAGGGAAACAAAATACGAAAGGGAGAGTAACTTCATCATTTTAGCAAGCCCTTACCTCAAACCCTAGAAGAACCACAGATAGTGCACATCTAGATGTCTTGCAGGTAAGAGTCTTTGAGAAGCCTTTGCAAATAGAAAATTTACTATACTACATCATTTCCTATAGTTTTTCTACTAATTTCAGTCAATTTCCCTTGATCCACTGACCTTTTGAATTGGTCCTACTTATTTCATATGATTCTTTGGTTTCTTATATTCGAATCCCATTGGTAAGAATCAGGCTTAACAATTGACAATTGATTAAGGCTACTATCAGATATCAAAATCCAAACCTAGCTTTCTATCTTCTCCTTATCGCTTAAAAGCACTCATTTCAGTTAATATTAGATAAAAATAAACATTTTCGACTATTAGAGTGCTTGAATTTAGAATGAACGCATTTGACTTCTTCTCACTCCACACTATTTTAGAGTAAAATCAAGCTCATATTCATTACGAAAGCAATCCTGTGGTATCAAATTCCATCCATTATCCACATCAATTCCAGAATTTACCACAGAATTCATAAAATCCTTCAGCGACCAATCAAAAGGGAAGCAATAACAATAAAACTTAACAAAAAATTAACAACTAAGTACTTAGCAGCCAAAACCCATCAAAATAAGAATGAAAAATTACCTCCAAATCAATATTCATGGTCTCAGCAACATGCCTCATGATGGAGTGAACAAGTTTGCTCTTGTTATACCTCTCCTCGCAGGCCTGAATATCCTCCTCAGATACTCTCCTCTTACTTAAATCAATGTAGCCCTTTTCCTTGTCGACACGGAGGACCATGACGGGCTCGATCCGACCCACCTTGATGAGACTGCTGATGCTACGAATGCGGCGACGCGACAGCTCCGAGAACAGGATCATGCCCTCGATGTTATTATACTCCAACAATGAAACATACGCACCACTGTCTGTCATGCTCTTCACCTGTATCATCACGGCCTGGTCCACTTCAGGGTATTTGGCCTCATACATCCGGCATTCCAGATTTCGCCCAGATTCCATGGCTGGGATTGGTAGAAGAGGATTCGGGATAACGGTTTCTACTCTCAGGGAATTGGGGTCTTGAAGGGAGCGAGAGAGTGGAGAACCACTTTTTTTCAGGGTTTCTGATTCTCTGGGTAGATTTATGCTTACATGCATATCTTTCATGAAAAATGAATATATGCTTATGGATTGTTTTTATTTATTTTTTATTTTTTTATTTTTCAAATGAAGCCACCGTATATAATCAGAATATTACAACAAATAAAACTTAAGGATCCGTTTGATTGCAGGGATAAAATTTGGGTGGAAAGAAATCGAATTTTAGAGAATCTAATTGTCTAAAACTTGTTTTTCTGAAAATTATCAATTAAATGTATTTAATTCGTATAATTTTTCACATGAAAAATATTGAAATTTTGGATCTTCTGGTGTTCATTTGTCTTATTTTTCATGAAAATTATCAATTAAAGGGATAAATTTTTTTTAACACAATTGTTGATAGATTTTGTTCCCATTGCTGAATTTTTAAAAAAATAAAAAATAAAAAATTTTAAAAATTCGAGGAAAACAGGTCATGTGTTGGGAAATTGATTTCCATGGAAAATTTTTACAATTAAACACATCAAAAGGTGGAAAATAGCAAAAATTTTCTATTTTCCATATCAAACACAGCCTTATTGAATAGTTCATAACTGAACAATAGAATTTGAAAACAAAAAGTTCACGTTAAATTAATGTCTTTGTGCATATCTGCATAATTACCAAACTAGATATATTTTCTATTTAATGGATAAATGAATAATGCTACTTTTCCATAAGCAATTACACAATAGTAATACATAAAAATGAGGCAACACAAGGAAAATTGCCTCGGATGGGTGTTGCAACTCATTGTATCATCTCACTTCACCTCGTCATAGAGGCTCAGCCTCCACATGGGGGTTTGGTGGGTTCATAACTTCGACTATAGAAGGGCTTCAAATATAGGCCAAGCAGGATGGTAACGTGGAGTGTGAGATTGGATTTCCCCACTCGATGGCTACCACGTTATTATTCTTGAAGTTTCGTTGGATGAAACGTAATAATAGTCTCCTTAACTACCATCATTTTTGCCTCGCGGGGCTCTGCATTCGTTAGGGAGTTCAAAAAGCATTCCCTAGTCTCCATTTGGTTGCCTCAAACTATTACAATACAATTCTCCATAGGGAACGTCATTCATAGGTGGTGTTCAGAGGTGATGGCCCATAATTTCTTTAGTCTTCCTTAAATTCTATGGTAAGCCAACCTTCTATCCACCATAGGATACTCCATGTAATGACAGACCACTTGGGGAGGCTCTCCTATCTCTACCGCAAGATTATTTTTCCTCTTGGAATGATGCTATTGCCTTTGAATCTGTATAGTGGGAAAGTCGTGGGGGTTAGCTCATGATTTACTAGCATATTATCATAAGTTGCTCCGAAAATTATGCTAACAGAGCTCCAGTTGTCTACTAGCATATGCTTCAACCCTTGCGTGCTACAATAATCCTTCCCACCAAAGCGTCACAATGTGGATACTGTAGTCCTTTCGCATCTTCTTTAGAGAAAATGGTGGGCTCTACCCTGCTCGCCCCACGATAATAGTTATCGACTATGTAGCTCGTCATTGGAGGATCTTTGGTCTTTATAGCATAGTTCCACTGAGCGTTTTTAGACTTCCCTTTCCACATAGAGACCTCCAAAAATTGTATTAACATCTCAAGAATGGTACGTTATCCACATCTGCCGAGGCCCCTTCTCTGCCTCTGCCCACTTTTGTAACCATGTGATTTATTAAAAAAAAAAGGTTGAACTCCAACCTTAAGGGTCCCCCACTGCTCCTACCCTGAAGCATCGTGAAAGAGGTAAATCGCAGGTTATGCCTCCAAGAATACAAGGTGTAAGGCTACTTGTACACTTGCACTTATCCAAGAGCCAAATCCATATTTCAGGATTCGAACCCTTGACGCGGCAGCCTCAAGCAAAGTTGGATTTCCCCACCCTCCTCTTTTACCACTTGAAGATGTGCCCTGGGGACAACCATGTGATTTATTATATGTGCAGTAGGTCATGTGTCCTTATAAGACCTTCGAAGACTGTTAACCGTTGCATTTTGCTTGTTGGATGGCTAATCATAGGGTACAGCTCCTTGATTCCCATAGCCATTGTTAGAATCCAAATTTTCATAAACCTTTGGAGTGTTACCAAGAACTTATTTCTCTTTACGTAAAATGTGGAACGATAAAAAAATAAATTTCTTTATAATAAAATAATTTAAATATGGAAATTATATCTTAAAAAAAATAATAATCATCTAATGAATTAAATAACATGCTTTGAACAAATTAAACTATCTAATAAATTGAAAGACAGAAAAACCTAATGTTCATTTTTCCTTTTAATCCACTTGACGGCGCGTATCACAATGTTGGTACAAATCCAATCGACCCCGAGCTAATATGTAAAATTATTGTAAGAGTGACTATTTAAAAACCCCCCATTGAGATGTGTGCAATTCCATAGACAATTTATATAACAATAAAATAGACTTCTCACACCATATTTTTATGGAGTATATAGATGACCAATCGAAACACTCACCATTATTATTTTGAATTCCCAAAAGATATCACATTTCGTTATAAAGAACCTAATAGAGTTCATATTCTATTAGGTTGAACTTGAATGTTTACTAGCAATTCATGCATATTTAATTGAATACATAAAAATATACGGAAATAAACCACTTGCACCTAAACATCTTACATTGATTTTGACAAGTTGAAAAGAATAAAATTTTGCTCGTAAAAATTATCCAATTATTTTTCTATACTTTTTCCTCTCTCCCTCTCTTACTCTCATAGCTATCTTTATTTTCTGTGGTGAAATGATGAGAATTCTTGCAATATTTATTGTTGAAATTTTCAATTGAGTTGGTATGCAACTAGAATTGAAAAACTATGTAATATAAGGATTTTGAATAAGAATTAATTTTAAATAATAGAATTATGATTACTATTAAGCTTTATCAAAATTAAATTAAGATTATAATTAAACTTTATCCAAATCACAAAACGATTACCATTATCAAAATCAACATTTATCATCTCACACGTGGCTACCATAAAAATTTAAATTTTAAATCAAAATTAATTAATTAGCAATTAAAGATAACTTTTTAAACTTTCACATCTTGAACCTAACTTATCCGAATTAACTTTTCTTAAGTCGAAGACTTCTAATTAATTACAAGATACAACAAGAGCCGAATATCGACTTACTAAATCTCACTTCATAAATATCTATTGTTCCAAAATAAGAAGAATCAATACCTATTTCATTTTTAGTCCCTCAACTTTCAAAACATAAAAATATCATATAGAACAAATAAATTTTATTCTATAAAATTTTCGAGGCGATACAGTGTTCAAACAAAACATTTAAGCGTACTAGATCATTGACAAGTAATAGATAAAGTGAGTTAAGAATATCATTTCACGAGGAATAACGTTCATTTTTAATATATTAGTGTTTGCCAAATTCAATCTATTGTAACAAAATAAATTGTTTGTTGAGTATTTTATTTTATTATCCTAGAATATACTATTAAAGCAATAAACTATGGTTGTTATCAAATAAGAGATGAATATATTGGATTTTCGACTCCACCTACTGACTTTTATTTTCAATTCTCGACTTGTATTGATTAATGTGATTAACATGTTTGCAATTATCAATAATTCAATTTTATTCAATTTCTTTTTTCAACATATATCGAACCTATGTTTAACACGACTTGACCCTATTTCTAGCCCAAATTCACATATAAAAAATGCATTTAATTTATAGAATTATCACACGTAACTACACAATCCATAAATATTATCCTTAATGCTTATTGTCTGTGTGTTCCATATGCAACATTCTACCTATTGAGAGTTTTTCAACGCTTTACTGATGTGCAAGTATTAAAACAACCACAATTTATGCATATTAAATTAGAAACACAAAAAGAACTTTAAAACCAACAAATCTTCGATTAAATCTATAAATCAAAAGGTTTTGTCATCCATCCAATATGCAAAGTTATTTAGCTTGGTATAATCATATTAAAATTACATAAAAGAACAAGAAAATATATCACTCGAAACAAGGAATATGGTGAAAAACTTGAGAACTCCAATTCTTCACTTTAATCTTCAACCAAAACAATGAATTTCTTAATTTGTCAATGTAAAATTGCCTTTTGTGCTCTCAAAATAATGAGAGATCGGTCTCACCAAGTTTTGGATGGCTTAAAATATATGTAGAAGGTGTCAAAAGATTGCATAGCAAAAGTTTTTAGAACAAAATAAGGAAACAAAATCTTTCTTTCAGAATTGAACCATGCGTATGCATGATTAAAAGTAAGTGTACACACAATACATGAAAGTTGGCCTCAAATAATATTTTTTGTTACCTTTGTATGCAAGGCATGTAGGCTCATGCTTACGTATGATACAATTAGGGAACCAATTTGCAAAGGTCCCTAAGCTTTTTCATTTATGTATTTTGATCATTTTCGATAATTTCACATCCCATTGACTTCTTTTTAACTCCAATTTACTCTTGCATTCTTAAATAATCGTTTTGCAATCTGACCGCACTTTGAATTATTGCATTTTAATCCTCGAACTTTGTATTTGATGCAATTGAGCCCCTTTTTCACTTCTTTTCCTTACTCCATCATCTTTCATTGATTGCTACCTACAAACATTATTTACATAGAATTACGTCATGTTTTATAGAATTCATTAACAAATAATCAAATTTAACGACCTAATATCATCCAACCATTAAGCCAACTTCCTCATCAATTAGGGCTGGCACAGCATTCAATGTGGTTATATCATAGGCTTGGCCTGAAGTTGGGGCAATTTGATGCCCTGCTTAGGTCTACTACTAGTTTACTAGGTCGGAGGTAGGACATCTAACTCTTTACCTATAAAGGGAGTCTATTGGCTAGGTTATTACGGTAGTCAATCATCTTTTCATTGACAATCTCATCCCTCATATCTACCAGCTGGTCATATGTGTCGTAGGAATTTTGTTGTGAACATCCCTCTAAATAAGGCATTCATGT